AGTGGAGAAGAGGGTCTCTCTTATAGAAGAAGAGGTCCAAGGCTTCTCTTAGAAGCTTAGAGCAAAGGGACCAAGCTTCTTTTAGAAGCTAAAGCAAAAAGGGTCAAGCTTCTTGAGGAAGCTAGAGCAAAGGGGTCAAGCTTCCTCAAGAAGCTAAGAAAGGTTCAAGCTTCTCTTAGAAGCTTGGAGCAAAGGGTCAAGCTTCTTGGAGAAGCTAAAAAGGGTCAAAAGGGTCAAGCTTCTTGGAGAAGCTAAAAAAGGTCAAAAGGTTCAAGCTTCCTCAAGAAGCTAAAAAAAGGTTCAAAAGGTTCAAGCTTTCTCAAGAAGCTAAAAAAGGATTCAAAAGGTCAAGCTTCCTCAAGAAGCTTAAAAAAAAGGGTTCAAAAGGTTCGAGCTAAAATAGACTCGGGAAGATGGGCACTGACAATGCATAGCCGGGTGCGCGGCCGGGCGCCCCGAAAACAGGCTGTTAAGCACCGAGAGCGGCGTATGACCACAAAGGTGGTCTCCCAGGCCACAATATCCCTCCAGAGAGAGGAAACAAGGTATGTGCCAAAAATCGGAGCAAACGGAGAAAGTTAAGCGGTCCCGAACCGAGGCGCACAGCCGACGGCTCCGAAAAACCTAAAACTGATCTCCAAACGGGGACAATGGTCTACGACCACAAAAAGTAGCCTACGGCCACTAAGAGATGGTCTACGAGACCTCTCCCTCCCTTCGGGAAGAGAAAACAGAACCTGGTTCGCAAACCAAGGCAAAACACAAAAGGGTCCCGAGGTCCGGGGGTAAGGCTCTCAGCCGAAACTCCGAAACCTCAGAACAAGCACAACATACGCAATCACCGAGCGCTCAATCGATGATGTCTGAGTCTTAAGGTCGGTCAAAATGGAGTGTCTACGATACCAAGTGTGAAGACTTACTTGAACAGAACGCTGGAGCATCAGAGCAAAGTTTTCATACTCGCTCATCTCGGCGTTTCAGTCGAGATCTCCAGGAAGAAGCAAAGTGGTACTAAGAGCGACGCCGACATTGACGTCGTTGGCACTATCGCCAGCTCTAACTGGCCTGTCCTCTAGAGTGATTTGGGGGGCCCAGGGAGAATTAGACTTCATGGAGCCCGAAGCTGTTGCAGAAGACGACCTCGACCTCTTTGATCTTGTGGACTCGGATGGTTGGGCCTCGGCAGGCCTCTTCTCGGTAGCAGATAGGGCCTTATCACTCTCAGCCAATTTGGAAATTGGCAAGGTGTCCTTAGTATCAATTTGAGTCACCATTGCCTTTGGCTGAGCCTTCTTTATCCTTTTTTGTTTCGGCTTTGGCTGAGATGGTGCTGGTTCAGCGTCAACAGTGGCCGGGATGTTAGCCAAGAGGTCCTTAGCAACTGCTTTCTAGTGGCCTATCTCAGCAGCAAAAACTGTTCGGTGTCGTCGACGGCGTTGAGATGGCGGGATCAACTGTGGAACTGAGGTAGATGGTTGTTCTGCTAGATCTGAGGTTGAACCCTGATCCGGCCGAGATGAAGAAGCTATTGGTGGAGTTGTGACGGAAGGATGAGACTTGCTTTTCTGCTTCCGTGGGACGTCGGGAAGTACCGACTTATAGGTCGGAATGAAATTGAGTAGCAAAGGGGCTCTCCGCTTGTGGACTGGCAAATCCAATAGTTTCTTCAAGTCTTTGTTGGGAAAGAAAGACTTGCGAAAGCCCTTTGGTGGCTGGGGGAGAACTGCAGAAAGGAGAGCACAGACGTTAGAACAAAGTATTGAAAACTTTAAAAAAGAGAGCAAGAAAAAGTGACACTTGGCACTTACCATCTCCTTTCCCGAAAACTGTTCGGCTTAGGGAATAAAGGTGGAGGTCATCGTTGGGCTGAAACTCCCAGTTGCCCGAGACGATGAAATAATCGTCTCTAGCACCCTTGTTCGAGTCTGGGAGGTCGGCAATGAGCTTGTACTCAATGGACCTTGGCTTGAGGTAATAGATGTGGCCTTTTTCTGATTTCAGGCGACACATAGTGTAACAGGACTGGAAATCGGCAAGAGTAACCCTAGCATTCTCTTGTTTGGCTAAGACTATTGTTCCAGTTATGACTCGGTAAGAATTGATGGCAAGCTGCATTGGGTTCAATTTTTAATAATGAAGGATTTCTCAGAAAAAGGTGTCAAGTGGAAACCTAAGTCCACGCTCGATAAAGGCCACTACTGGGAAGGGCATGAGGTTCACATCGGGCATAATGGAATCCTCCTCCCTTGCCAACCTGAGGTGGACGTCGGCAGGGATGGAAAACTCCCGCCTAAAGTACTCTAATTTGGTCGGGGTGTCTACCCTATACTTCCACATACCCATGACGTCGACTTAGGAGGAAGGTGTATAAATTGGAAATAAAGGTTCTGTAAAGGCTCAGAATACCTTGGCAAAACCTAAAGTTCACACCGGGGTAAGAATTTGTGAAGATCAGAAGGGGATTCGTCTCAGTTTTCCCTAAGATTCATATGTTCTAGGGCAAATCTCAAACCTAAGTCTAAACGGAGATTGAAGGCAAGAATTTGGAGAAAATACAGAAAAACACAAACAAGAGCAATGATTCAAAATCAAGAATAGTGGCGAATCATCAAGAACACTATGACAGAGTGTGTGCAAGGGTACAAAGCCAAGAACAGTGACAAAAGTGAACAAATTTGTGAGTAGTATGTGAATGTTCAAGACACAAATTGGGCAAAAGCAAAATCGTAAAATAAATGTGCTCAGATACGTGGTTTATAAATCACGAACTTGAGCATAACAGCAATGGCAAACAAATAATAAGGTAAAACTTTCTCAAAAACTGGAAACTATGAGGGAACAGAAGCTTACCAGAGGAGTGAAGCCGGTGTTGAAGATGCCGGAGTCAGGAGATGATTACAATCAGAAAAGGACAGTGAAAGCTTCACCAGAGGAGATGAATGAAAGCTGTTACAGAGCTTAAAAATCTGGAAACAATGGCGTATTTTGGAGAGAGAGAGAGACTTGAGAGCTTGAGAATGAGGATGCAAAAGTGAAGAGACGAAGAGAGAGAAATTGATTTTTGATCAAAACGCAGAGAATGCCGGCAAAACACCATCAATGAGCCTAGAACGACGTATTGATCAGACGGCGCACGCAGGCACGAGACGACTTACAGGCGCGTATCGAGTACGGTCCAATAGGGGACAAACGCGTGGCAGAAATGGATGATTTATTTTGCGTGACAGCTCATACGCGTGATAAAACTCTTAGAGTTCTTGGTTTAATGAAGCAATGACATCGGCTGATAGGAAAATCTCGGCTAAATAAGCTCGAATAAACTTGGTAAAAAATTCTGAAGCCTTGATGAGACAGACTATAGGACCTGGTTGTGAGAAACCGGTATATTATGACTTCGATAAATTTATGATACAGCAAGATAGCCGACATGAACGATATATGTTCCATCACCTCAGGATGCCGAGGTAATAGAATCTAGGGGGCAGTTATGGAGATATATTTTCTGAGTACCAACACGTGGCCAAGGTGACTCCGACGTGTCAGCCGAGATGCCACGTGTCCTGATCGTGACGCCGAGGTTATCTCGACTAGGCCGAGGTTATCTCCGAAGATATTAGAATCCGGGATAAGCGGATAAGGAACAAGAGTCCTAGAATGAGGAAGGACTTCAGCCTGGATAAGGATAAAGCTCTTAGGGAGTTTATCTTTATCTATTGGAGAGTTCAAGATAAGCACTGAACAGAAGTCTATTGAAGCTAGGCTTCTATTGAGACTAGGATTGAGTTGGCTATAAAAGAGAAGCACCCCCATGGGTCTAAGGTACGTAATTTATATTCTGAATAGTGAAGTTTAGCACTTTATCTATCTTTGAGAGATAACTGACATGATCATCGGAGTGCCCCCGGGTGGACGAACCACCGCCGGAATCTCTTCTTTCTGTTGCAGGTCAATCAGGCGCCATCTATTCTGTCAGTGCTCTCCAGCTGAATACTGAGTTGGCAGTGTGGTCGGAAATTCACTCACACAGGTAGTTTGAATGGTTTTTATATTTTAGGAACCACAAATTGTAATACTTTATGTGAGATGAGGCATGCTGTGATTGTAATATTCTAAAATTTCAAACTTTCTTTCTTTGGACTGCAGTGATTATAATCAGTGTGTTTGGTTTGAATTTTTTTAATTAAATTTTTTGAAAATTGAGTTTTTTGATTTTTTGTGTTTTTTTTTTTTGTTTTAGTGAATATTTTTAAAATTTTAAACATTTTTCTTTACTTTTTAGATGCAGCTTACTTAGATGTATCTAAAAAGTAAAAAAAATTGTGAAAAAATATTTTAAAAAATTAATAAATACATAAAAATATAAAAAATGTACCGAATTTTTGTATTTTTTTAATATATTTTTGGTATTTAGTAAATTTTTAAGAGATTTTTTTTACTTTTTAGGTATATTTATGTTAGGTATGCCTAAAAAGTTTTAAAAAAAAAAATTGCTTAAAATATTTTAAAAATTCAGTAAAAATAAAAAAAACAAAAAAAAAAACAAAAAAGTAAAATTTTCTGAAAAGTGTTTTTTGAAAAGCCTAACCAAGCAAGCTGAATACTTTTTTAAGTCATTGATTGTAATACTTTTTTTTTTGAGGAAGTGGACAAGTTGAATTATGTTGAAAATTTATAAAATTTTAAACCGCTAAATCGATTCGCATTCATCAGCCAATCCGCTCAATCCACATCTGCTGGATTGGTGGACGAATGCAGATTGATTTTCTTCAATCTATCAATTTGACGAACGGATGGCAGAGTGGAGGTTTCGTGACCACAATCGACCCGTACTCACCCTTAATTTAAACACTTACATGTAAGTAGTAGTAGGGAGTAATTTTTTCATAATAGTGTGGACTAAATTGTAATAACAGTATTTCTGTGGGAGGGGGAGGTCAGTGTAAATAAAATTATTTATTTATTTATTTTCATTTCTTCTTTCCTTTTAAAAGTAGCATAATAACGATCAATAACAACATAGGAGAGAGCAACAGGAGGAGGAGAAGGAAGAGCACGAAGCATAATGATGGGCGGCGAAGAAGAAAAAGAAGAAGAAATTGGGAAAAAGGATGAGGAGGAGGAGGAGGAGATGGTGGGGAGTATTGGATCGTACGGAGGGAGGGTGAGAATGGTATACTCGTCGGCGGCGGCGGCGGAGATGATGCTGCTGTGGGGGATTCAACAGCCAACGCTCTCCAAACCAAATGCATTCGTTTCTCACTCCTCCCAACAACTCCGCCTCGACGCTTGCGGCCGCACTCTTCGCGTGGCAGAATCCCCTTCTTCCTTGGTAACTTACTCCCTCCTTCCTTCCTTTACTCCTCTGTGTGTGTGTGTGTGATGATTGCCATTCTGATGTGTACAAGTGAATCAATGGAATGGGAGGGTTGAGTGGTGGGTGGGGCGTATGATTATGATAAGATATGATATGCAGCAAAATTTCTTAATTAATTAATACCTAACTTAGCTGCCCTACTACTTGAAAGTTTAATCTCTCTCTCTCTCTCTCTCTCTCTCTCTCTCTCTCTGTGCAATGCAAGAAATCACTTCTAGGTGAATATTCTATTCTGGCTAAATGGCTGAATTTAGGGTTCTTTCTTTGGCATTATCAGATCATAGCAATACAATCATCGTCTAGCTGGATGTGCTCTAAATTGTGAAAATTATGTTGACAACCTCTATTGATTTTCATTTTCATTTTCATTTTCATTTTCATTTTCATTTTCATTTTCATGGTCTATATAAAATGGTCTTGATACGCTAATCTCTAAGGCCACTATATGCAATAAATACTCACCATTTTCAATTTCATTTTCTACACTAAAGCTTTTATATTAGTAAAAAGTGTTGGAAATTTTGGTTTTAAAGGCTTATGTTGGGCCATCTTTGAGTCCAAATTTCAGTGGGGCTCACACGTCATTTGAGGTGGGTCCAAGTGGTGGTGTGTTCTTTGCCGCATGGCAAGTCACAGGATGAAGATGGATCGTCAAAACCATTTATAAGTGAATGAGAAGTTAACGTTGTTTTCGGTTTGGTGAAATGAGAAGTTGAAGAGTCAAATGTGGTTTTAGGTATCCTACATAGAAACAATAAGAGAGCGCTTATATGAGTATATAAGCTTTAAGTTGACATGCTTGGGATAGGCCCCAAGGGGCACCCCAAGTTTTGTAAGGAGAGAGTTATGGACAAAGTGGGTTTGACCCAAATCCACCACACGCGCCGCCGTCGTCCATCCAGCCGGGCCGGATGCGGGTCGTGGGTCAGGTCCTAGCTTTAATTTTTTGGACGAAATTCGTTTGACTTTTTTCAAAATTCTTGCGGAAAAATTTGAAATCCTAACGGATTAATTCAAACTGTTGTGCCAAAATTCGAATTCGATTTTTTTGCTTCTTGGAACAGTGCCGCTCTGGTCACCTCTCTTCATTTTCTGGCGGTTCTAGGTTTCACACCTGTTCGAAGGGTTTTCTACCCTTCCAAACAGACACCTCTTGGCCTAGAAATATAGGATCCTTCAGCAGATTCAATTCATTCCATTGTTTCCTTTCCCGTTTTCCTTCTATGCTGCATTATTCTTCATACTAGTTCTTAGAGGTTTAAGAGAGTTTCAGAACTCAGGTTCTGGTTCGCCAGAATAGATTGTTTGTAATGTTACTACAATCTGTGTGAATGATCATTGTATCCTGGGAGATAGACACCGATAATCCGTGAGCACCTGTGCGGTGGTGAATCTGTTTTAAGGATAGAGTGTTACACACTTGACTTGATCGTGCTGTTCTTCTCGGTACAAGAACTTCCTGTATGTAATTTATTTATTTTATTTCAGTTTTTTATTTTTTTACACAGAAGATTGTTCCATCAATCTTAAGACAAATTCGAATTATTCTGTTTATACAGAATTTTTCGTTTGTTTCCTTTTTAAAATTTCCTTCTAGTTTTTTTTTTTTTACAAAAATTATTTTTTGTGTGAAATTTGTCAAAAATTAATTCTAATTTTTCAGAAATAATATTCTAGGTTTTCATTAATTAAACTTCTGATTTTCAGTATTTTAATTTTTGAAGTTTATAGAAATAATATTCTGTGTGGAATTAATTTGATTAAATAAAAGTTTATTTTCAAATTACTTTGAAATAAAAGTTACAATTTTGTTTATTTTATTTTTTTACAGAATTATAGTGTTTTTTTTGGTTTAATTTTCTGTGTAGAATAAAATTTTAATTTTAATTCTATTTTACAATTTAGAATTTAATGGCTACTGAAACTTCTAATCCAATTGGTGTTGCGGCTGCCTCAATCCCTTCTGCTGTTGTGACAATCTTGGTAAATCACGGGAAAAAGCCAGAAAAGTTCCTAAGAACTAACTTTAAAAGATGGCAGCGAAAAATGCTGTTCTATCTTACGACATTAAATCTGACGCTTTTCCTTCATGAAGATGCTCCTGTTTTGAAAAAGGATGAAACCGACCGATAAGTGGTTGCTGCGGTCGATGCTTGGAAGCATGCGGATTTCCTTTGCTGCAACCATATCTTGAATGGGCTTGATAATACATTGTACAACATTTATAGCCTATCAAGACGACAAAGGAATTATGGAAGTCATTAGAGAAAAAATACAAAATAGAAGATGCTGGCTGGAAGAAATTCGTGGTAATTTTTGAATTTTGTAATGGTTGATTCAAAAACAGTGATTAGTCAAGTTCAGGATCTCCAACTCATTCTGTATAACATCTATGCTGAAGGCATGTCCCTAAGCGAGTCCTTCTAAGTTGCTGCCCTAATTGAAAAATTACCACAAGGTTGGAAGGAATTCAAGAACTATCTCAAACACAAGCGCAAAGAAATGACTTTAGAGGAATTGATTGTACGTTTGAGGATTGAGGAAGACAAGCGAACTTGTGAGAGGAGGGTTAGAAAACATTCTATGGAGTCAAAAGCTAATGTGGTGCAACATGTACCAAAAGCAAAGAAACGGAAATATACCGTAGAAAATTCCTTATAAGGGTCTAAGGGAGGGGAAACCAAGAAATTTAAGTTTAATGGCAAATGCTACATCTGTGACAAAGAAGGACACCAGGCCAAAGATTGTCGTAGCAAGTGAAGAAACCTGCTCAAGCCAATATCATCGAAGTGGATTGAATCTCCAATGGTATTGATGACATAAACCTTTCAGCCGTTGTCTCTGAGGTCAACCTTGTCGGAAATCTCAAAGAATGGTGCGTGGATACTGGTGCTACTCGTCACATCTGTGCTGACAAAAAGATGTTCTCCTCATATTTTGCTGTGGACAATGGAGAACAACTATTCATGGGCAACTCCTCAACTTCTAAAGTCGAAGGACAAGAAAAGGTTATTCTGAAAATGACATCTGAAAAGGAACTCATTGTTAACAATGTGCTGCATGTACTGGATATTCGCAAGAATCTTGTTTCCGAATCTGTGTTGTGCAAGAATGGGTTAAGGCTAGTTTTTTAGAGTGACAAATTTGTACTTACTAAAATCGGGATGTATGTAGGAAAAGGTTACATGAATGATGGCCTTTTCAAAATAAATGTAATGACTATTGTATTTTCTATGATTAATAAGAATACATCTTCTTTTTACTTGCTTGAGTCTTCAGATTTATGGCATGGTGGACTCGGACATGTTAATTATGGATTTTTGCGTAGATTAATTAATATAAAATGTTTATCTAAATTTGAAATTGATCCAAATCATAAATGTGAAATTTGTGTTGAGGCAAAATTAACTAAAACTCATTTTCATTCAATTAAAAGAAGTACTGAACCAGTTGAATTAATTCATAGTGCCATTTGTGATTTTAAATCAATTCAAACTAGAGGTGGGAAAAAAATATTTTATCACTTCTATAGATAATTATACTAGATATAGTTATGTTTATTTAATTCGAACAAAGGATGAACCTTTGGAAACTTTTATTTAATATAAGAATGAAGTTGAAAATCAACTTGGTAAGAAAATTTAAATTCTAAGAAGTGATAGAAGTGGTGAATATGAATCACTTTTTGGTCATCAAACCACTACTCCTTACTCACCTCAGCAAAATGGAATTGTTGAAAGGAAAAATAGGACCTTAAAAGAAATGATGAATGCCATGTTAATAAGTTTTGGATTACCTTAGAACTTGTGGGGGGAAGCAATACTTTCTAGTAATTATATTCTAAATAAAATATCCAAAAAAAAAAGTGAATCAAACATTTTATGAAATGTGGCATGAGAGAGTACCATTCTACAAATACTTAAAAGTGTAGGGGTGTTTGGCTAAAGTGACTATTCCTAGTCCTAAAAAGACTAAGATATGTCCAAAAACCGTTGATTGCATATTCATCGATTATGTCAAGAATAGTAGTGCATATCGGTTTTTGATTCATAAGTCAAAACACTCAGAAATTCATGTAAATATTATTATTGAATCTAGAAATCTATGAAGCACGGATACTCCAAAAATAGTGTCCTACGAGTACCGGGTTCTTACAGGGTGCGGGTGCGGGTACGCGTACTGGTACGGCTGCACGCGTACCGGGTACAACAAAAAGGGTTTTGGTACGTTTGGTTCAATCGGGTACGTCGTGGGTACGCTGGGGCAAAAAATCAAATTTGTAAGAGAATTAGGGATACCGGAGCAATTTATTTATGTTCTTTATTAAAAAGAACAAAAAATAGTGTTATTTTGTAATATTAAGAATATATAGGTTTTGTCCCTTCTTGCATCTCTTCACTTCAGCAATAGCAAAGAGAACGGCGCAGTCTTCTTCGTCTTCTTCTTTAGCAACAGCAACATCTCTTCACTTTGAAGCCCTCCGGCAATGGTGACGCAACGACACCCTCCAGTGAGTGTTCTTCTTCGTTTCTTCGTCTTCGTCCTCGTTTTTTCTTCTTCGTTTCTTCATTTCTTCGTTTTTTTCTGCAGATCAACAACTGCTGGTCTTCGTCTTCTTTATTCCTTTCTTCGTCTTCCCTCCGGTGAGTGTTCTTTATCTCTCTCTCTCTTTTTTTTTTTTTTGTGCACTTGCAGATCAACAATTTTGGTGGAAGAGATTATTGATTTGTGTAAATATAGTAGAGTATTATCTTGATTTTGACTTAATTCAAGTGCTTTTTTGTGTAATGTTAATTGCTGCTGTTGTTCTTCATCTGCTATCTTTATGAAATCTTTCTTTGGTCTCCCGTTATGTCTTTGGCCTCACCCTATAAAAATAGCAAATTGATGAGCAAAAAGCAAGATTTGAAAAATAAATTATGATCACAGTGCATAACATGTCAAAATGAGAGATT